CCCTCCCCACCTGCCTGTCCCCCCCTGTCTCTGCTGTCCCCAGCCCCTCCCAGCATCCTGCCCGGCTCCTTTTCCCTCCTGCCCTACCTGTGCACGCAGTTGATGGCCTCCAGGTAGGCCAGGGCTTTGCTGATCTGCAGCACGTAGAGGATGAGTGTGGGCACGGCGAGGTAGTGCTTGTTCTGCTCCAGGTATTGCCCCAGCTGCAACGGGACGGGACGGGGGGGCTCAGGAACCGAGCAGGGGCAGGGAGGGTGGCAGAGGGGGACAGGATGGGATGGGCTCTGGGGGTGGGACCCCTCTCACCTCTCCGTAGGGATAGAGCTCCATGATGATCCAGGTGGGCTCCTCTTCCGCGATGCCGATGAGCTTCACGATGTGGGGGTGGTCCAGCTTCTTCATCAGCACTGCAGGGAGACCACGTGAGACACCCTGGAATTGGGGGGTGTGTGTGTGTGTCCCCCTTCAGGTGCGGGGCTGTCCCCATGCAGGGGCAGATCTCTGCCATGAAGGTGGAGACAGCGCTGGAGGAATTGCCAGGGGAAGCCTAGCACGTCCCCAAAAGGGGTTGGGGGTCCTGGTTTCCAGCTCCCCAAGGGTCTACAACCAGGTGGTGCCCGTCCGCTCTCACGCGAGGCTTCAGGAGCTTTTCTTCCCTCCCAGGAAGGTATTTTGGGGAACGGCCATGCCAGAGGGGCGAGGGCAGGGGACCCCCCTCCTCCCGCTCTGTCCCGCATTGCAACAGCAATTTGTCCCCAAGAAACTGGGACACGCCAGGGCAGGGTTCTGCCATCCCGTCTCCAGCACCCCACCATTGCAATGCTGCAAACAGCACCAGCCCCCCCCATCTGCCCTCTGCCTGCCGAAGCAAGCCCTGGGGGGTGCTGAGCAGGCTCTGTCCCCCCCAAAAAAAGGGCAGCAGGACCCCCCTGGTGTACCCGCTTCGCTCAGGAACTTGTCCTTGTTCTCCGGGCTGCAGTCCTTCTTGCAGGTCTTCACCGCCACGTTGACCCGCTCCCCTTTCTGCAAGGAGAATCCCAGAATCCCAGATCTGCCCGGCCGATCAGAACCCTCTGAGCCCTGTCCTTCAGCCAGTGCTTGACCCCGCTGCCCCCCCCACCCCCAGCCATGGAGGAGGCAGGGAGAGGGCAGGACGCTCACCGGGGTGGTGTAGATCCCCTCGTAGACCTCTCCGAAGAACCCTTCTCCGAGGATCCTGCCCAACGTGATGTCCTCCCGGGAGATCCCATAGTGCTGGACTTCATGGAGAGGGGAGGAAGGTGGAGGTGGCATCACCAGTGGGCGGGAAGCTGCCCAGACCCCCGCCTGCTCCGTGGGCAGAGCCTCCCCGCCACACGGGAGATGCTGGC